TGTGAAGTCTAGTCGATCATTTAATAGATATTTATTACTAATGTGTGGTAGCTGTGTAATGGTAACTTTTTCTACTCCATAATCCACCAATTCGTCAAAGCTCATATATCGCATATTTATCGGGTACTCAACAGTTGATTTCTAGTCTGACCTTAAAATGCTAACAGAATACTTCAGATTACTGGGTACGGTTTCGAAAGAATTCTATTTCTTATTGTTCGATGAATAAAAATGAGTATCTTGTCTATTAAATCATTTCCTCTTCTTGTGTCAATTTCGTCTTTCTGTTATTCCGGAATATTTGATATTTATTTAAGGGCGACACAAATGATCAATGCATCTTTGAAAGGAACCAACCATTTGTTTTGAGAACTTCATTTCATCAAATAATCTGAACGACATTGTGACAAGTACTAATGATGTTCATTCACAACGCTTTCATATATTTCAGGTAAATCTACCAAAATTGACGAGATTTGTCGCTTCAAAGGAGAAATGTTCTATGTCGAAGAATGGTTGATGCTGTTATTCACAGGCTCACCGGTGTAAATACTTAAAGATAATCAATATTATTTATTTGCTTAGTTTTCATGCTTTTTATCTTATATTTCAGGATGAGAAGAAGCTGGTTGTAGAGTTTCTTAACTAGAGTAATGACCATTCGATAACTTTAACTGCTCACCATAATATTTTGAATTGTTTAAAGCAAACCTCATCAGTTGTCTGTGCGGTGATCATTGCATTGAAATCTAACAAATCTGTATCATAAACTAATACTACACCATTCAACTTCTAAGCTGTGACTTAACTGCAAAATACTTTTAACTCACGTCAATTAACGAAACACCATAATCATCATCTAAAGTCATCAATGGGTTTACATATCTCTCTCTAACTTTTAAACTCTATAGATCTCAACATATCAGTAGGGCATTAAAAATTCTTGTCATCACAAAACCCGAAGTGTCTGTATTCAATCATTCGTGAACTTGTTAGCGTCGACGATTCTCATTCCTAAACGGGTAAACTTCAATTGTCCAGAGTATGTGAATTACCGATAATTCTCAGGACAATCTTCATGTGTGACGAGATCACTTTTCAAACTGAACAGGTTCAAACAACACACTTAAATGAGAGAAGGGATCTCATGCGTTTTACTTAACTATGGTGTATTCAATGACCAATTGACATTGAACTTTGCAAATACAGAAGCTATGAACTCCCATCAATTCACGAAGTGTCATCTGTTACCTGACACCGAATTTTTGAGACGTGAATTATTTTTTATATAGTTCATGTCATTGAATCAAACTACCCAATGTTCTATGTGGTTGTGTATAAGTAGAATAAATTCTGAAGAGCGTTAAATTCCGAAACTCTGAGCTATTATTCCCAATATTCAGCACCATAAGTTTAAATTATTGACACCTTTTCCCCAACGGAAACGAATCTATTCCAGGTTGTGTCTAGCATGAAATGGTCTAATGCTTCTCCACCTGACTGTTTTATATTTAAAGTTTCCAACTTGTCGAATACCATGTCCATGTTATCCATTTTCAAAATTGGAGAATTTCGCAGTATTGATGAAGACATAGTATGCTTCTTTGAAGAAAATTTTAAACATCAACGTTTAAATAATAATGTCTAGTGTATAGTGAAATTAGTTGTGTTTATCTGAATTTTATTCCAGTAGATTGGTAGTTCCTCAGTATTCTTAAATTCATTTCCATATTGTTTACTTCTAACTACAGAATTCGAGACACGAAACAGTTATATGAGAAGAAACTAAGAATTTCTGACCTGAATACATTTGACAGTAGTCGTGATATGATAATTCAAGGCAACCAGCAGTCTGACGAAATAATGAAACTTTATGAAAAAGTGAGTGATTTATAATGTCAGTAAATAGTGACATATATCATAATTAAATGTTTATTTCTCTCCAGAGCAGTGGCACTATTTTTTTGAAGAAAGATCTATCCGTTAATCAATTAAACTGTAAAACTTTGTCAACTGATTGCTAATCAACATATAAGAGATCTAGCAATACTTCATTAAATGTGAAAAAGTCTTACAACAGTAAGCGCACAAGTATATGAATACTTTCTTGTTATATCTGAATATAAATACTTGTCTGACACAAGTCTTCTCATGAAATGAATCTGAAAGTTACATTCCGTGTACGATTTTGTAATTCAGTCTGTTGCAAGTGTTCAATATAACAGGAGCGATCTTGTGTCGAAAATGGTTCCACTAGGTTCTCCTTTCCACTCTGTCAAAAGCCTTCTCATAACCAAAGCAGTTAATGTATAGTTCATTGGAGCTGATCTATCCAACAGCTTTCCAAAGTGTTCTACCCACCTGTCCCGCTATTACTGATTCCTAGTTTGTCCTCTTGATTGCTCTGATTTACTATATTTCCATGTTCGCTTCTCATTTTATCATATAGTTCTCATATTTCTTCTCCCAAAGTTTTTCCGCTGTACTTGATAAACCTGTCACATTTCCGCTAATCAGCTTCAAAGTTCCTATTCGCTTGTTTGTTCATTTCTGAATATTCAGCATTTGCTCTGACTTTTCTCCTTGTTCGGTTGTTGTCGACTTCACTCTTCTAGTTTTTGCTTTCTTGAGAATGTTGTCCACGATGTCCATCCACATACACTCTATATGTGGGTGATTTGTTGGGCCTGACATCTTCTGGTTTGTTGAATTTATCGCCTCTTTAGTTATTTTTTCAGTCTTTCTGTATATTGCTTTTTACTACTTCATGTAGATTTTCTAAGGCTTATATCTTGTTGCTGAGAGCTTCTTTCAATTTTCTGAACAATTAACTATCTCCAAGGAAGTTTATATCAAACCTTTGTGATATTGTTTATCCAACTCTCCTGTACTTCTTAAACATCAGTTTTAGCTTAGCCTCCACCAGGTGATGATCTGAAGCCTCATTGACTACTCACTTCGTTGTTATGTCTCCTATGGATATTGTGAACTTTTAATTGATACAAGTGGGATCGATCTGGTTCTCTCTGGTGTGGTTTGGTGAATTTTACATAGCTTTGTGTATGAATATGTGATAGGATATAATTCCACTTATAACCATGCTGTTAAAAGCACACATCCGTCAGTCTCGCACCGTTCTCATTACTTTCTCTCAGTTCAAGTCTTCTATGATATTTCATACCGGACTTTGTCCATTCTGACCTTAGAGTGTAAATATGTCATCGTCATAGTTATGATGGACAGTTCTCTACAAAAAACTGCAGTGTCTCCCAAAACCCGTTTTCATAATTTTTGCTTCTATCATAAGTAGCCGTGCAGCACTGAATAACAATAATTATAATCCCTTCCTTCTTTGTTTTGAGGAATGTTTCGATGAATCTGTAGCTGAGATTGCCTACCTTTAGGCCTTTGTTTATAGCCTTTGGATAACATCAGCTGAACTACTTGCTCGGTGGACACAATTTCTACGTGATTAGAATGCCACATAATGTCCCTCTATGTTAGTCATTTTTGTTCAGCTTATGTCCAGAGAGTTTTACTCAGTCTAAGTATAGCGATGTTGCATCTCATTTGCGCAGCAATTTGGAAGGTCTTCCCTGTCTCCGGCATTGTTTGGGCTTTACATGTACCTAAATGAATTATTGCTCTTGTTGTCATGACTTTTGAAGTATGTCAGCTTTCACCATGAGGCGTCATAACTCTTCTATATAAAGGATTTCCAGCATCTAGGGTCAAGGATGAATTTTTAAACTGACTTTTGCTAGTTAGTGTTGTATTTTATGAGGTGGAGGCTGTTAACACAATGCTTAAATCTCGTTCATTATCCAGGCAATGCAACGGCAGTAGCGCTAGAATAAGCAAAGGGGGTCTAATGCAAATGTGAAGGAATGGAGTAACAAAGCAGAGTCAGCATCCCATCGACTGGAGAATAATTAGAGAATTTTCAGCCAACAACACTAACTTTAAAAAAGTGCAACGTGAGATATTGAAACTTGCAGGGATGCCAGAACATTGACTAAGAAAGTATGTGTACAAACAAACAACAATTTACTCAGATGTCTCCAACAGTCATAATCTATATTGTTAGAGATAAAGCGAGTTTCCAGTTGGGGAGGAAACTAGGGAAATATGCCGGAGTTGATTAAGGTACAATTCACGACAAACAACCAACTGTATCACTAAGGAAATCCCTAATTAATAATTTTCAAGACAAAAGGAAAAGAGCTGGACTAGAAAACACATTGTATCAGGAAATGGAGGCAGATATCATAATAACGAATAGTACCTGAAAGCAATCAAAAGGGGGGGTTTATTACTTGATTAATTGGGTCTCCATAGATGGTACCTATGCCACACGAGATGTATTAGGTGTAAGTAATTAGGCTATCTTAGGCTAACCAAAATAAACTTATCAATGTTTATAATTTTGACTGTAATTTCATTTTGCAACGAACAAAAATCAATAGTTTAAAAAGAAGGCTTTTTATTTTCCCCCAAATGCATCTCAGATTTGTTCAACAACTAACGTTCATGTGAGGCGTTGTTAACCAGGTCATCTTGATGACACTATGTTATAATATTTCGTTCTGAACAGAATATACTGTCAATCCCATTCAATATAACATCTGAACACCGAATCTCTCAATTCAGAACCGCATGGCCTAAATTAGAGAAAACTGCTAATGCTGCTGAGTTTCGTTTATAAAATATTAATGTTGTGAAATCTATTCTTCACAAGACAGTTTCACTTCTCCACTGTTTCTCATTCCCTTTACCAAACTGTACTACTTGATATCTATGAGTAGTTTGAATAATGTTTTGAAAATGTAACGTCATATGATGTGATAGTCAATAAACCATACAAAGAAAAAAGATAATTTTAAGTAATTTGCACCATATTATCAGTAGTAAATGTTGCTTTAGTATTTACTGAACCAAACTGATAGCTAACTTTATTTTATCACCAACTGTTTTTAAAGCAACGTCAAAAGGCTAAACAGATGGAGAAAAGTATGCAGCATTTAGAAAAGATAAGAAAAGTAACCGATGAACTACTGTATCAATGCATTCCTCGTACTGTGGCCAGAAAAATTCGAAATGGAACTCCAGCGATCGATACAATTCAGGTTTGTCAACGTCATCTTAGTTTTTCACTTGCATCAATAGTAGTTATCGTACCTTCAAAATTATATCCACATTATTATAAGTGTTATTTATGATGACTAGTCATGAACACTGTGATCGAAATTCAATACTTCATGTGATAGAATCTTGAAACAGGCTATTTCAGATATAGAACATTTATGTTTGAACTTATTATTTTCACAATATTGATGACATTTCAATAATTCTGCACTTTGGATGACTCCTACCGAGATGGCGAAAATTTTTCGTCCGGACTATGGAAGCGCATATGTAACCTTCAACTTGTAATTCTATGCTGGTGATTTTAGATAGGTGTTTCACCGGAATAACTTCTACCGCCTATCATTGACTGACAAGCATAGAAGTATTTGATAGGAATATCAGCATCAAACTCAAGTTTCAGTTGTACGTGTTGAGAATAAATTTTGAGATGTTTTCAATGTAAATTTATGTCAAGAAGACGTCTGACAGATCAACATTGATCAGAAATGTATACATATAGACCTCAGTAAAACATAGTAGATTTCGAGCAACCATGGAAGCACTCGTGAATTTGGGGTGGATTATAGTCACACTTATCTTCACGATTATTCCTACATTTCGTGTGTCAGTCGACTGCGAAACCTCCATCACTGTCATCTCCAATGATATATGATTTGTAGAAGTCGATCTGAAGTAACCACATGAGTTTATTTCACAACCAACAGTAAAAACTAGCCAACTAGTATAGAACGAAGTTAGAGAACTAATTACAAAATGTAGCCTAACAAGTAAACATGTATGTGCATACGATTGACTCATGACGACTCTCTGCAATTAACACATAATCACTCAAGTGAAATCAATCAGTAGGCTGTCACATTCAATCACTCATTCATATTTAATTGTTAAAGCAGTCACTTCATCGCATCATATGTAGACTGAAACAGCACTGTCTGTCTGCAAATTAGGTATACCGACGGTATAACTCGTCTGAACATAAATAACCCTCTGTATTGGTGAGAGAGCCATATTCGTTTTCTCTGTTTACTCATCACTTTTGTGTTTTCTGGAATGTGTCTCAAGAAAAAATGACTATAGTATTGATCATAATGACATAAGTCGTCACGTGACTAATAATTACCAAATGACATGTTTTAAATTCATCAAAAGACATCGATCAAACAAAGAATGATGCACAAGATTTTCACCGATTCCGAAATACCATACATGATTCCGACTAGGATGACAACAAAAATTCCACCACGAACAATTCTGTGTTGAAATTTTCTTCCATTGTGAATGTCTTTCACTAATATGATGGAATTGCTCTACGATTGCTCTACAAATGGTCCAAACATGTTGCTCCTGGATATGTCATTTTAAAGTCAAGTTTAGTGGCATGTTATCTTCATTGCTTATACTTATCCATGCGTTTGTTTATTAACCAGTATCTATATTATTCATCCATGTATCAACGGAAATTTAACAGATTCCTGTCATCCAATTGATTTTTCACTCCTTTGCAGACATTCGATGAAGTCACAATATGCTTTACAAAAGTGGTCAACTTCGCTGCAAAATGCATGCATATAGATGTTGAACAAGTGATTGAATTGTTGAACAGAATGTATTCTCTCTACGATGATTTGACTGAAAATCATAAAGTTTACAAGGTAAATATATTTTTATCCGACTATACTACTCAACTGTCTAGATGTTTACAGTAGTATATACATTCTATCACTCGAACTATACTCATCCAAAATAGTCAACATTGGTCCATCATAAATTTTATGGTTTCTCCATCGTAATCGATTACATCACAGCACATTCTACAGTATAAATCACACTCTGATTCGACTGTTTAGTAATTAGACTGATACTCGTTTCCATTGATCTGTTTTGGTAAATGACTGTTCTCAATGGTATTTATGACTGTAGTTGATTAGTCAGATCGTTTGAACCGAAATGTACCGATTTCGAGTCCCATAGTAAACATTAACTCTGAGATGCAGGTGCATCCAACTGACGAACCCCAAATATGACGAATCGTGCGCCCTGAATTCTAATGTTTACCGCCATCCATCTCCACATACAATCTTCCAAAATAATACAGAGGTTGAATGGATATTGTCGATAGTTCAAGGAACATTTGTAATATGATTGAAGTTCAGTGTGCATTTAGAATCTCACCATCAAACTTGGTAGAGATTACAAAACGAGATCGACTGAGTGCACGGGAACTCACTACATATTGCTGACACACTCAATCCTCATGACTGTCAAATAAAAAGACTTTTCAGAAGTATGTCGATCTAGAACTTCAACCTGTCTCTTTCGTCTAACCGACCATCCATTTCGGCTGGTAGGAAACAAACCAAACACAATCAACTGAACGTAAAATTCCTGGTTAAAAATGAAGCCGATTCAAACAGAATAATAAAAACTACCTCCAGATACATTCATTTATTGCTTCGATAAACCAGTCGTTTAAAGAGCGGAGCTGGCACTTTAAATACTTCTCATAAAATGGTTGTGCGCAACCTGCCTCAAGAATTGTCATGTGGGCTCTGAGGTCGCGCTCCCAGGTCTCTAACACTAATCTACCTTCCGTTTCAGGTCCCTCAGGAAACATCCTTATACGGTGTGGGCAGCCAGTAGATAACATCTGCCCCCATGCACCTAACATCACAAGAGGTCAACTTGATCACAATCAGATCCCTCCAACATCTTCTTATAACCCTCTCTCTACCATGAACAAAACTTCTCACATCCCTTTATCACCTGGCGCCGATGACACAAACAATTTGAGTACACGAAACGTTATTCCTGGTCTCCTAAAATCTCGCTCTATATAACATATTGGAGTGTTCGATGTTCGAACCTTTTGCCTAATAGGAAAACGAGCTTCGTTAGCTAGGACTTTAGAATCTCATGCAATGGATGTATGTTGCGTCTCCGAAACGGGCTTACAGGGTCCGAGTAGTGTCATTTGTCCGAACTCATCATGTTAAAATAAAGAACCAACTCGATTTACTCTTGATGTATCTTGAAACCCTGAGGCTGTTTCTCGTGGCCTCGCTGGTGTAAGTATAGCATTAGACCCTAGGGCAGAACTAGCTCTCCTAGACTGGATCCCTGTAGACAGTCGCTCGAGCACTGTCGGACTAATTAGGACGGTAAGGACTCGTAAAAACAGGGACAGGCCGTTGCCTCTTCGTCGTATCTGCCTACGCTTCCACTGACTGCAGCTCAGACGAGGTAAAAGATGAGTTTTACAGAAAGCTTTCGGACCTCCTCCAAAAAGTTAAGCGCTCTGATGTAGTAATAATGGCTGGTGACTTTAATGCTCAAGTAGGTAAACTAAGTGAAAAGGAAAGACTCCTGGACGGATCTCGTGGTTTCGCGGCTGGTCGAACTGATAGTGACGAACGTCTGTTGCAGCTATGCTCAAATCACTGCCTATTTCTAGCAAATACTACCTTCAAGCACAAGGAAAAACTGATAGATGCTCAGAAACTTAACCCACCTTGCTCTGAACATGATGGGGAGCGAAGTCAGCTTAAGTGCGAGCCGATAAAATGCATACCCAATGATCGCGAACAGTGGTGGGTAGCGAAAGCAAGGGTGATGGAAAAGGTGGCGGAGATAGGTAACCGTGGATAACTGTTCAGACTTATCAAGCAAACCAGTATAAGTAATCCGAATGTAAGTGAGACTATCTCGGAAAAGGATGGGCTTATTACTCATTCACAATCCAGCAATGGAATTGACGTGTAGAATACATTGAACACAGGTTGGACAACAAAGACTAGCTTCAAGAGCGCTGCTGTCATAATCTATCCATGAAGAATAAAATGCCTCGCACACACAAAGAGTTTCACTGATGCTGTCCAAACAGGCACAATGGCATTTATAGGATGGGAATCTCATGGTCCAAGGATCATCAAGGCATCCTTCAAAACAAAGAGAGAGGGAATTAAAATGTACGTCATCCGATGCACCTACCAACAACTACAATGAAGACGTTAAAGATCACTTCTACGAGAGGCTGCAGTCAATCGTCAAGAAATGCTCACCAAAGGAATTGACGATCCTGATGGGAGACCAATATGCTAAGGTTAGAATGACATCACCAGAAATGAAGACATAATGGGACGACATGGACTGGGAAAAAGGGACAAAAATGGTGAGACGTTTGCTGACCTATGTTTTCTAGGCAAAATACCTCGTTTTCGTTGGCCAGACACGATCAGCAACAACGTACTGTGGAAGAGAACAAACCAGATTCCAGTGGAGGAGGAAATCAGGAAGAATCGGTGGAAGTGGATAGGACACACTACGAAAAGCACCAAACTGCGTCACAAGACAAGCCCTCACATGAAACCCTCAAGACAAAAGGAAAGGAGGAAGGCCAAGGAACACATTACGCCGAGAAATAGAGAAAGACATGAGAAGAATGAACAAAAACTGGACAGAACTGGAGAGGGAAGCCCAGGACAGAGTTGGCTGGAGAACACTGTTCGGTGACCTATACTCCAGTGGGGTTAACAGGCGTAAGTAAGTAAGTAAGTAATGCAGTGTTTAAAATTTTAGCCTCGATTATTCTTAGACGACTAACTAAAGCTCATGAAGAGTAGACTCGAGAAAACCAGGCTGGCTTTTAAACTGGACGGGGATGTGTAGACCAAATATTCACAAATCGACAGGTCCTAGAACACAGACACACATTTCGACGCCCCACTATAGTTGCATTTCCTGGCCGTAAAGCAGCATTTGACTCTATCGATCGTGAGGTTCTGTGGCAGTGTCTGTTGTTGAAAGGTGTACCAGGGAATTACGTCAACCTTATACAGGTTCTCTACTCTCCCGAACACCGCTGGTTGACTGAGAGCCTAATGCAGACTGTCATCGGAATTGATTACCTCGAGTGGTGTTCGTCAGGGTTGTCTACTTTTTGCATTCTTGTTTAAAATCGTCACAGACATGCTTTTGGAAATAACATTAACTTCTAACTTTTCAAGAGTGGACCTTCTACCAGGAGGCTCACTTGTTAACTTAGAACATGACGATGACATATTTCTACTTGGTAGAGACACTAAAAAAATGTGGAGTCTTCTGAACACATTTAGCAACAATGCAAGCATGTTTGGAATGCGGTTTTCCCACTTGTAATGAAAAATGTTGCTTCAGAATTGGGTTTCATCGGCACCTGAACCATTTAGAGAGAGTGAAGCGGTTCAGCGTGCCAACCACTTCATTTATCTCGGGAGTCTTATCAGTGCTGATGGCCTGGTGACTGACGATATCTCAGCGCAGATACAATAGGCTCAGTTGGCTTTTTCCGATTCGCGTTACATATGTCATAAGTAAGAAATCCGTTTGATAACCAAAGGACGAGCGTACTGCGCAGCAGTTTGTTCCATTTTCCCATATGGATGCGAATCATGGCCGGTAAGAGTTGAGGGAATTCGTAGGTTATCGGTATTCAATCATAGGTCTATTCAAAGCATTGCTTATGTATCCTGCAACATCCGAGTAAGCAATGCTGTTGTTAGGAAAGAATTCGTAGGTAAGGATGGCAGATCAATAGATGAATTATCGGGACTTCATCAGTTGAGGCAGTTGGAACATGTGTTGCGTACGCCAAACAACCGACTGCCTCGACCAGCGATGTTTTATGGTGTAGGAGTGGGCTTGAAGAAAGTTAGGGGCGGCCAAACAAAAACATGGCAGCAATCCATGAAGTCACTGACAAATGGACTGAGCCATGTATATATTGTAGACTACGTGGTTGGGGTCCGTGAAATGATCCTGACCGATAGTTTGAAACCTCGAACGACATGGCTCAAAGTCGTCTTTAATGACTCTCCAATCGTTGTGTTCTCTGAAATTCTAATCTTCAGAACTTCTTATCGCTTTTATCTTTCTCTTTCTAAATATTTTTCACTGAATTATACTCATTGAATATTATCTTCGCACCCTTATCTCTCCGATTACTGCTAATAATTCTACTATTTACATCACTGTGGTATTTGAATTAACAGTTGTGTCTCTGTGCTATCTTACCGTTGCTTCTCATAATAAATAAGGTTAGGTGGTAAAGACACACACTCTCAGGTAGTTTACATTGAGGTTTATGTTTTCATCCAACTTATTTCATTCTTTCTAACACACCAAATGTTACCTCACTTTCACATACTGAAATTTAAATCAAACTGCTGGAGAATAACCACACCACACGATACACTCTGCTCACGGAATAGAGAATACATACCATATAGTTGTCTGGTTTCCCTGTGTTTTCAAATCACAGAAATCTGTACACACTAACAGTTCTTCGATCCTATTCTCATGGTTCGAAATCAGTACTTTAACTGATTAATCCAAAAGAAGTGATCCAAAAGGTCGAGAAAGTACAGGAGAGAAGAAATATTCGCTTAATGTTCTGCATGATGTTCAACTCAGACTCATCTTGAGTTAGATTTCCAGATGAGAGTTTGACTGAGAGGTCGCTTTCTAACAACAATTGATTTTCGCTGTACTTATTTCTATTGTTGAAGGTTGAAACAATTAATGACAGTTATATGTTGGTCTCTGGGGCACCACACAGAACCCCATTGCATGCTGCACACATAGTCGACACTGCATTGGAAATTATAGAAGTTACTCTACTCAATCTCTACTGGCCAGAGTCAAGTGAAAATATTCCAGCTAATAACAAAGCTAAGACTGTTTATACAAATGAACACTTGCATCTGTACATTGGATGTCACACTGGTCCGATTGTTGCTGGTGTAGTCGGTTATAAAACACCACGATATTGTTTATTTGGTGATACAGTGAATACTACAAGTCGAATGATGAGCCACGGTCTAGTAAGTTGACATATGTACTCAATTTGAAATAATAAGTTATACACAACACTGACTACAAGCACTGTTTTACTTCCCATGACTTCCATGTAATAATTACATTGCATTATCTGTAGTTGAGCTGCATAATATGTGAAATATATCCTACGATCAAGGTATTCATGTTGTGCGTTTAGATAGCCTCTTCACTTCCTGGATGACTCATGACTAACTAGGTTTGGAACATCGTCTGTCCATCAGACCTGATTTGTGATGACTACTTGGAATGATTTGGACAAGCGAAAAGTAGACCGGACTAGCACACCACCATAAACAGTGAGCATGTTCGAGTGGGTTGAGATGGAAGCACGCCCGATTAGAGTTATCAGTTATTTGACAAATAATTCATCATTATTGATAATCAGAACACAGTGCTGAACAGACACAAAACAACAGAACTAACCAAAACCAACGAACTAAAGTGTCACTATGACTGAATGTCGTGGAGCTGATCTTACAGGGAATCAACTTCTTGCGAAAACTCACATCGACCGAGAGAGTAATTATTCACTCATCATCAAATTCGAATTGTAGTACTTGTATACAAAATTGAACTCTCACTTGGAAAGTGTGACTGCATAGTGATTTTTCCCGACTCTTCATTCGAACAATATACATGTGTGGATTGTGTAGGACGGTAATTGTTAGAACATCTATGGATTGAAAGGTTTTCAAAAGCCTTTAGTTTTGCAATCTATCACAACATACCTAACATGCAATTCTGAACAGAGAGTTACAGGTACACAATTTATAATCTTCGTAGCCAGATGAGATAAAAGTCTTACTATTGGTCTTTCACTAGTTAGTACTCTGATGGTGAAATATTACTCCATCAAATATTGCAAAAAGTGATCATATAAACACTTACAAATTTATCTGGAAAACATTCTTTCCTGAAGTTTACAATCCCTGAAATTAGTTCAAGTTACCACTCAAGTTAAACAAACTCGTTCATTTGTCAAGTAGACCGAGAGTAACCAAAAATTTTCTTTCTATTGTAATTACTGGTGTGTGTACTTGTAGGTTCCATTCAAGTCATTTTCATCTCATAAATAAAATCAAGATCTTGTGTTACATTAACGCGCTCTTATTCAACATTCACATTTCAATTTTCATGTTCATTTCTCACATTGTCAGCCAAACAAAGTTCATATTAGTGAGTCATGTGCTCAGTCTCTATCACCTTATCCATATGAAATAGAATGTCGAGGAGAAATCCCGATAAAGGTATGTTATGCTACAAATTTACCTATCACTGATCTATATTCTGATTGAAGTAATTATGTATGAATGCATTTTGTGAGACGAGTGTTGGCGTATAAGTCGGTCACTGACTCTCATTCGATTAGGGTCAGACGAAATCAGATTCTCCCTTGATCTACGTCACGACATGAGGCTCAATACCGATTGTGATGTGACAAACTATTGTGTAGCTTGAGACGGGTAGATTCATGGAGTCAGATCATTCAGGTCGGATTCGACAGCATGAACAACATAACATTGTAGAAAGATTCTTGACTTGAAAGATCTCCTAGCATCGACAATTGGTTAATTGGCAAACACTAAACCAGTGTTAATGAAAGTGATCATTCATTCACTCATTCGTTTTAAGATTCGTCAAAACTGGAGTGGATGATAGTATCAGATTCGAAGTTGATGCTCTGTGAACAAACCTATTGCGTAGAAGCTACAATCAAGTTTCCCTTGCCAATGTAGAAATGACAAGGACTTCACATCACTCTTCGATTCAATTCATAAGCTATAAACTCCAATATAATCAAAACGACAGAGAAATTCTTGAAGCTTTGGATATGCCTTGGTAGAATATTCGGTGTTCTGATTTTCAAATCGTCTCATTACAAAGTGAACTCAGTGTTTATTTGATAAGATTGTTTATGAAATTTTGTGATGAAGGATGATGACACTAGAAGGTCGTTTTGTAACCTTGAATTAATCAGCTTTTATTCTTAATCCTCTCACATTCTACATCCAAATAAATTATTCTAAATGAATTGATATATTGTATTAATTTACTATCAACCGTTGTGTTCTGATTTTCAAATCGCCTCAATACAAAGTGAACTCAGTGTTTATTTGACAAGAATGTTTAAGAAATTGACTATCAACCGTCATTATAACAACTGATTTCTGAGCAGTTGTTCGTAGCATAACTCACATCCACACCTACCAGGAAAATAATACGAAGTCTTCATATTTCGAAAGCGATTAAATCTACCATACTTAGGTAGACGAAACTACTCATGAATTGCAATGTAAACCTGAGAATTTCCAACCAACATTGTTTTCATATCAAAAAATGTACAGATATGAGCGAATTTCTACACACATTCAGAGAGGCAAATCTATTACGTCATAAACACTAAGCTTCATATAGATAATCAGTCACAGATAAGTGTTTAGGAATTGATTTCGAAACGTTTAAGTTAGAAGTAGTCTACATCAACTGTCTCCATATATGTAACGTGCATTTTAACCATGCGCTTCATGAATTTGTACACAATGCGTACTACCCGAATTTCACTCAGACTGGTCTTTTCATTGACAGGGTAAAGGAAACATGAAGACATACCTCGTCACAGGTCGACAACCAGAATTCGTCTTACAAGACACAACTAATGGAGTGAGTCGCAATTTCGCAGAGGTTCTCAAGGAAGACATGCTCAGAGACAATGAAACACCATCGGAAAATTCTGACGACTCTGCGAAATTCTCCATCAATTTGTCTGACGCAAGTGGAACTACAGAAGAAGAATCTCCTGTCGCATCTCCAAAAGACAATGGTGAAAAACTGGAAATGGATGCTGAAAGACCTGAGAAGCAAGAGCAGACATCCAGCAGAAGTGGGAGTAGGCGCTCAAGCAAAAGTGGGAGTAGGCGCTCGAGCAAAGGTGAGCGAAAACGTCGTAAGTCTCAACCACTCTCCAATACAACTTCACCAACAGACAAGAATCCTGATGTTGAGAGCGAGCAGAACAACGCGGGCTTTGTGAACAATCAAAACACAAATGAAGTTCTGAACGAAGCTGCACGTCGTCTAGTTGAAACAAAAGTCAGAGATTTGAAGAATGAACAGAAAAAGAAACAGGATATCACATTCAATCTCGAGAATCCCGAGCAGATCTTGAAAGAGGCTCCCAGTGAACCAGATTTGAAGACAGTAGGCAACAATGTTGATGAGGCTACTCTGTTCAAATCGAAACCAAAAATACTCGAACGTTCAAGATTGATCAAACTTAATCCAACAAACAAGGTACCCGGAGTCTCTGTTCCCAGCAAAGCGATGCAAGTTACTCCTGATAAAGTCAATGTGAACAATGAGAGTTCAGATGTGACCGAAAATGTAACAAATGATGATGACGTCCCAGTTGCTCAAGAGAGTGGGAATCAAGAAAACTGTAAGTGAATCTTTTTTGTAGGCCATTTCTGTTACTCCACAACGCTACAATTTCAAGCAGAGTACATATTATTTTGACTGAAATAAAATGTTTCGTCATTCACTTTTCGCCAAATCATAAGAGGTCAGGTCACGAATGTCTCTCTAAGCATGAAGTTGACCTTACTGTACACAAACCATGAGTATCAGTTAACGAGCACACACTTCAAAATAACGTGATCTTGGCGATTTACCATATCATTTATCAGATAATCGTCGAATTCTTTTATTAATTAGATTAATTGATTGAGATTTTACAACCAAGTTTTTCGAACTTCATACTCGATGCACCACTGCAATAACCAAAATTAAGTTGAAATTTCGACAAGCTTCTCATCAATTCTCACCAATCACTTTTATGCACACAACACAGATATTTACTGGAAATTTCTCCATGTAAGTGAGAAGATGGAGGAATCGATCAGTGTGGTGATACGTTATCTGTGACAACAATTGTATCACTGTTCGATTAAAATGACCGTATTCTTCAATTTCCTAGTAATATAAAGTCAGTTATTAAGAAGATCGGTATTGAATCCCGAATATGTATAAAGAGGAATGCAACATTCTAAGTTTTTCATTTAAATGTGTGAAGTGAAAATAAGATAATGTATGAGAATGTGTTCTGTCGAAAAGGACCTATCACTGAAGTGAGAAATGACTATGTATATTGGGAACTATGAAAGGTTCCCTAACTCGTATGTCACCCAACGCCATACTACCTAGTCATCAGTATTGAACATACTACTGCTCAAAATCACTTTATTAATTCTTTGAAAATATTTGTTTACAACCTAACCGATTCATATCTTAAATCCTTATCAACATGTATTGATTGCGCTTGAAGCTGTCCAACGATACCGTGAAATGGTGAAACAGGGTCGTTTTGATCCAGTACCCGATTTGCCATTCTGTTCACCTCAGGCAGCCATATTCAAAGATTTAGGTGAGTATTTCATTTCACCTGTGTCTCTCATTTATTAACTATGTAAACGTTCATGAACCTAAACTAGACGACTTATTACTTTCTTGTTGTCACGTTCAATTCATTAATATGGGAATTCAGTGAGGAATTCTTAATTTCAATTTCGTAATTATCTACACGTGTCAGCAGAATTTATCATCAAATTTGAGGAGTTTCATATTGGTTCAGATGGTTAGGGTTTGTATCTACACCGATTCCTGAAGCTTTAGCGCACTCTTATCCATTACCATTGTCATTTAATTTAAACTTTTGTATTCGATTCTGTCCTTTCAGTTTGATTAATAACTACATTGGTTATCATGAGTCATTGATTAGGAGAGGGACACTAATTTGAGGACTACCTAAATTTTAATATTCATTGATCCGATTGGTCATTGATAACCACTATATGCAAATTCAGCATATCATACTCACTCAATCACCACTGACTAAACGACAGTTGGAAACAATGGTCACTTTAACTTGCGTTTAGAAATCTCTTATTTGTCCATTTTGTTCCATGAATGTTGGGGTCGTCAGATCCTCGGAACTCAGTCCTAATTTCGGACTTTATGCTTTCGTTCGTGAGATGATCAGTCGATTTTAAAGACATCCTCCGTTCATCCATCGGTCAAATTGTCCTCGCCGATTCGCATCAGGCATGACAATCCATGGTCGGTACGTGCAGCAGCCAGAACTGCGTCAGGCACCCAAGAACAGACCACCATGGTAGCTCGCGTTATACCCGAACTCACCAGCGGTAACTCGGACGAAGCTCACGAGCACGATGTGTAACAGTGGCGATGGCTATGGCGTAGCCTATCCCTCCATACCACGATGGCTGTTTGCATTTCTAGGTTGCCCCGCCCGTCACACCTTACGTCCATGAAGTCACCACGCCTGATGGCTGAGACATTTAGGAACCGGGAAGACCTGAATGAAACGCTACAAGCTTGGTACAGTTCGAGGGATGATCTATCTAGCCACATCAGGTGTTGCGAAAGCCGACCTAGATCTGTGAGACAACAGCAAGGAGGCCAAAATGAACGTACAAAACTGATAGTTAACCTCGGTCAGCTACCCCTGGCACAAGACGTGATTGAACCAACCGCGCAAGCAAAAAACCTGCAGAGGACAGTTCCAACAGAACTGGCCGATTCCGTTTGAATAAACTGTCTGAAAATCCGACAACGGCTGCTGCTGCAGAAGTGCACCAGGTGCTGAGACAAACCACCAAGTGCCTCTATAGCAACGTAAGAGGACTGATTATGGCGCACACCATATTGAACACGACAGACCATCTCAATGTGAGCATCTAACCGACGCATCACCACCATTCCCCTCGAGGTAATCCTCGAAAGATTGCACATCAAAGAGCGAATACTCAGGTTCGTGCACACTTTTTCTCATTGCGAGTCGTGGCAACTTGGAATGCTCTCTCAGACGAGGTAACCACAGCCCCCTCAGCGGACTGCTTTAAGAAGATACTTGATAATCACATACTCACATACGGACTATCATCTCCTTCTTGGACAAGCTGTTCATGATGCATATCTTGTGTCCTGCTAGTTGTTCTCATTGCCATCTCCTCAGATCACTCAATTAATCCGTCTCGCCTAATATCTCTGTTTCCTCTCCCTTGCTTACACTTCGGTTCTCTCTCCCAATCCTCACTACCAATTAACAAACTAAATTCATCTATATATTACTCAGTTCTGAAATTTTAGTCATATTATCATTAGAATTTTATCCTTATTACCCTTATTACTCTCCACATTGCAACTAACTGATCTCCGGTCTGATAATGTGACGGCTGCTGGTATCCAGAAACCCTACTGCCCTGAAACTGACGTTTTCATTCAAATCCCGAGACATACAAACTCACAACCAACTACCAACTGACTAGAATTAGACAGTTGAGTGGCTAGACCTCCATCCATTGTACATTACCAAACACCTGTAACCGTACCGAAAGAACAAGAATCGAGCGCGAAGAAATCAAATTGGTTTACACTAGCTCGTGAAAGAGATATTGGATTACATTTCCCACCCAAAAATCCATCATTGTCATTGGTTGACTTGTTATTTTAGTACGCTATTTTTGGCTCTACCAAGGACGTTTCTATCATGAATAAATAAACTCGATTTGTGTGCTAGTGAACCTAATATCATTCTGGGTTCTTTGGAATAAACTTTCCACGTCATGTCAAGTCTTATTCCTCTACTTAGCGGGGCCTTGGGACGCTCGGATTAGAGTAGCCTATCATGTCACTGGATCATTTGTGTTCGCTCTCGTTTACCAACTAAAGTGTACTCGTATTAGTTCAAGCATATTAGCTGACGAGCATATCAATCACAGATTTGAATATCCAGACAGAATAATTTCAGTGTAAAATCAGCTTTTGACACAAACTTTGAGTTGTTACATTGTTTGATGAATGGCTCAGAAAATACTCACTCATTCCTGATCGACTTTTCCAAGTCAGTTTGGAAAAACTTGTTTCAAATTGAGGTGTGACTGAGTAATATTTTCTTCAAGTGTTACTGTATGGTTCATTGCAATCCAATAGAATCTCATGTTTTGGAACGCTTAGAGAAGGTACAGTGACAAACAGAACACCTGATAGATAACCACGTCACACTCTCTATGTTTTTGTGCTAACAATAACTCATTTTAAAATCAGTGTTAAAATCAAAGTGACTCCGTCTGTTAGTCCACTGGGTTTGCTACGTCATTTCCAAATGATATTCATTGTGCCTGTCAAAGTTTATGGGTATTTCAATATATGGTTACTTTGCTCTCAATTGTTGATAACTGTAACTGGTTACAGCCATGATTGAAGAATTTATCAGTCAGTCAACGCATAATAATTATATTCTGGATTGCATTTATTGAAGTATTTTGTGTCTCTACCGTTTAAATGACTTCAGTGTTCGAAAATCATTAGTGATAGTAGTATTAGTAGTAGTAGTAGTAGTAGTAGTAGTCTTCATTTTGTAGACAAACGATCCGACATAGTTTGAATGAAATTTATTTCTAATCTTCAGCCTCCAACTTCATACGGAGAATCGACGAGAACTTTACAGAATTTTGGGAAGAAAATATACGAAAATTGAAAGATTTAGGGTGCTAACTGCAACGTCATTTTGTTTACCGTGCACCTTTTGATGTAAGTCTGTTCTGTTCAGAGTGAACGAGTTTGAAACTTGTGTGTATTTGATCCCTCCCATACAGTCGATTTTTCACACAATAAACTGACACTGGATAAGTTCATTTCCAGTGTTACCGCTTCAAAACACTTCTATTAGATCCAGTGAGTGATAAGTAATCAGTTTAACTATAAACCAAATCATCAGGAGAATGAAATCAGAGACAAGAAACGAAGTTTACTTTGCATTTTCCTACTTGTGAAATCTTAGAATCATCTAATGCTATCCCTATAAAGAGTGTCATTTACACATCTGCAGTAGTCATCCATTTCAAGTGGACCATATGAAGGGTTTACTGTTATGTAACTAGATATTGGAGTTTACTCTTAGATTATTATTTGAAGACTTACTGGAATATTTGGGACACCTGTTGCACAGTCCAACCACTATAATTTCGACTCTACTGTATGAGAGGAAGTTAGTGTTGAGAAACTTCAAGTCTATATACCGTTTATCCCATCCATGCGAAACCGTTCAGTACCAACGTCTCTTATCACTTCATATACAATTAACAGTACAGCTGACACTCGAAAATGAATGAAGGTCGATTATCCGAATCGAGATTCTGATTGATTTGTTTCATTCTTGATGCTCATTCAACTAATTAATTATTTGTTCTTCTTAATTTCGCATCGTTTTCAGCTCAACCATTGTGTTTAGCATTGACCGAATTACTCATCATTCGACCAAAGTATCCTATCATGTATCTGGCCATTTGGTTGAGAAACTACTCAATAGACAGTTCAAAATTTGATTGGATTATACATTCTGCATGAAACAATAATAGACATCTTCCATACTAGCAATCTTTACACTAAATGTCTTATTGATACTCTAATGTATGTTTCATTTCCTATGTGTTGTATCTGTAGAAAATCTTAACCTTGTTGAGAATACACACCATATCTATAGCAAATCTGTTTGTTTTCTGTGAAACTATTCACCGTTGAAATTGCACCCTGATCATTGTTGAATAAAAATGTTACGTCATTGAAAATGTATAGTTGTGAAATGAAATACCAGCGTTACCATGTGAATGATGGATTGTTTTCCGACATTCGCCAACAATCTCTATCATGTGTTTGCAGAAAATACAGTTTATAGTAGGGAGTGAAAATTTTATTCATGAGTTGTTCACAATAGTTATAGAAAATCACAGGTGAACAAGAGCTGTTGGTTGTATCAGAGGAAACTGCAAGTAATAATAAATCGACTGTCAGATATGCAGTGATAATGACTACATAGAATACATCAACACTCATTTTCTGTTCGTAGACAAAACAAGACAAGTATGACAACAAACAATTTCATTTTCTCATCCGTTAATTTGTGATTTGGTAAGGACTGAGTGTCTTGCGAATGTCAGCTGTTCAACGTACACTTGACTAGATTGACTTATCCCTGAATCCCTTAACTCTATAAGTTCACAACTCACAATGAAACTCCGAATATTCGAGTGTTAGTTAAACTGAACTTTTCAGTGTAATCAATCACAGAAACATCGAATATTTAACGAGAACTCAGAACGGATTATAGCTATGCAAAATCCGTCAAACAACATTTTATCCATTGTGTAAATCTGTTTGTTCATATTCAGTGAACTTGAAACTGTAGAACTGATAGTTTTGTAACACAACTCATGAATAGGTAATGTAACAGTAAGACTGGATTAGTTACGATTTATTCTCCCACCATGTATTTACAACGTAGACAAAGTGTAATTGTGGTTTATGGTAATCATCATGGTCGAACTGAGATGGATTCGTACTGAGTTTCCACGCCTAATGCATCAAAATAAACAGAATGATCTTCGGATTATCAGCCTAGAATTATATTCTCCTGTCACTTACATGTGGCAATGTTTTTTGTGAATTACAACAGTATCTATCATTGCAAGCCACACCAATGAACAACATGTGTATTGTAAAACTTGTAGTGCGTGTATTTTTATGTCCAGCCTATAAGGCTTGTCCCAAACCTTCGGACAATCTGACTAGTCCAGTCTACCTAAGTTATATTCACACGTCCTCCGATCTTGATAACTAATCGCTTTTATTTTAGTTATTTCTATCCCAGTATGTTGTCTGTGTGCCGCCTACCTCACTTATTGCATGTTTGGCTTAATTTTGTCTGACTATAAATGCTCAGTCATGCCTCATTACATTGAGTTGTCTCGCCAGCCTTCTCCACTTCACTTCACTTTTCTTTCAAGCCATGTATTCTCCTGTTTGTCTGCATGATCGATTGCTTGAACCAAAGTCATTCAACCGAATCCGTATTTGGTTTTTTATTACCGCCGTCACGCAAACGGTGTTCGCCTCAGTATGATATACGGAAACTGGAGGGGAGATTTATTTCACGGCGTATTCAGCTGTTTGTAAATATGGAGCCACATCGCGTACCACTAAAGTTGGGAGCACTACTGCAAGTTCAACGCAGCCACCAAAGCAGTCAACCAGAGGCCTAATCTAACCCAGCTTAAAAAGACTCGTTAGAGGATTTTAATGAAACAACTTCAGAAACCCAGATTGAAGTTTCCGAGAATCAATAGAGGATCAGTTGAGTTTTGTTCTACTTACCAGACAAAATTGACTCAAGCTATTGAACTACTATTATCTCAAAGGTCTGATTTCAGCTGTTGTGCATAAATCACTTATCTATGATACCTTATTACATTTAATCTCAATGCTTTTACTCAAAGTGTAAAATTAGTTTCGTAATTGAAATCTTTTCATGTACAATTACCTAGACATATTGCTTTGATATCAACCAAATAACTAATTACCACCTATTCCTAACTGAATATTTGTGATTTGTGAATAATAGCTATGTTTACCTTATAAATTGGTGCTGTTTTCCAAACGCAATGTAAATTCCTAGTCTTTCAACTTGCTCTCTGATATAACCAATCCTTATAGATCTATGATCACTTGTTCATTAATTATTTCACATGAACACATCATATCTGTGAATATTCTTCTTTTGACTTGTTTGTGAGAAAAAGTGTACTATTTATTGTGACTGCTTTTTTGAATGGAACGAAGTAAATTATACTGATCAAAGAGACCCAGTGTTATTAAGGAAAATAAAAATACTATTCAAACAAGAATTATTTCTTTTCAACGATTTTGTTTATTGAAGTTGTACAGTTGTACCAAGAGCGATTGAATGAATACTCGTGAAATCTAAAAATGACGTTTATCGGAAACATATGAACTCTAACTCCTCTCAATACTTCATTGAAAATTAGAAAAATATAGGTCAAAATAAAATCGTTAAAACACTTCATCTGCTAAAGTTATCAAGATATTATGAAATCATTTATACCGATTTTCATTTATCTGATGTCGAGTGTTAGTTACAAATGTTAGACAATCCAACTGATTTGTATTGATTTCGTAAGAATTTCCATTGCAAATATAGAAAGGTAGTGAAGTTGGCTAAAGAAACCTTGTTAATGTTATACATGTTCATCAAGATAATGAGTAAAATTGTTCCTGCTATGAAACAACGTTGATTTGTTGTGAATATTGGCGATAAATTTTCCCTACCACATTTGTCTGGACTAATTTACTAGATTAATTGTCTTCAATATCGTACCGATGTCATACAATTCATTTACAGTGGCGATGATCACTGATTCCCGTTGATTGCAATATTAAGAAATTCTTCAGTTTTCCTTCCAATGATAAGACCTCTTTGGACATAGTTCACAAATTCGGTTCACAAAAATCCTTCTTTCATAAGGCTCTTTGAAATAAATTTGTATTTAATTGTTCAGTGCTGTGAAAACGACTACTGCAGGCCATCAGTAATTGGAATCGATAATCACTTGAGGAAATCATCCAGACTGATCTCGAGTTTATGATTGATTGGACAGAAATTAGATTATAGATTACATTAACTGTCGTTTCCAAAATGACTTGGTCATCTAATTCCACAGTAGCTGAATTTATGACACAACGGTAGAAACTTATATTTCATGTTGTGGATGTGTTTCTACTGTAATCGTTCTAGGTTCGTAAGAAGGATCTTCTAATGTTCGCCTTGGTGTCTTCATAGGATCCTCCAGATTTATGGTATCCTATTGGAATTTTTTAAGATTTGTTAGCATTTTTGTCTTCTGGGTTGAAGAGATCTTAGAAGTCATAAGGGGAGTGGTTTCAATTGTTCTAACTGCCACAGGTCATCATAAGTGGTGGCACTTTTCTCATTGTCTATTGAATTTATCCTCATTAATTCGATGAAATCTGAATTTCTCAACATGAATGAGTTTATCATTCCAGACGGAATCATCATCTTACCATCGTTTGTTTGTATGTGTTCACTAGGAGTTGTGTAGCTTAGATGATCTGACCTTCCTAGATAATCATAGGTTCTCCATGATGATTGTGGAGTAGCTGGAAGTGTTAAGGATGAAACACTATAGAATCATGATGAATAATGTTAGAATAACTCTGATTTGTGACTGGATATTTGTACACCTAATTGAACATATTTTTGTATTCTCCTACACTTACTTGATGTTATAACCTGTTTTTCGTTTAGTAAGTGGTTTACGTAATCTTTGATAGTGGCCGTTCACAGTTATGAGAGGAAACATTACAAATTCATGTTATTTTGATTTGCGTTAGAAATTTCCTAATGCGAAACAAGATAAACGATTGAAACGGCTAATTATTAATTTCATCAACATTATGCTCATTGTTCATACTAAGTATTACTGTTTGAGTTTTTTAGAAAAATGGAAAAAGTAACGCCCTAATTAATCCCTCATATTTCCTCCTTCATTATTCTTCATAACACTAGGGATATATGCGTGAGTGTTTCGTTCAAATAATGTTATCAAATAGATTTTCATAACAAAACAACGTTAGTCATCAAATTTGTATTTTCTACTTCATGGTCTCAAATTTTCTAACAATGTTATTGTGAGGCATTTAACTGACATCCTTCATGTTGTGATACATAATTAATTAAAAGGGTGGAATAAGTTAGTGTCCACGTGATTTGTTGAATGAGTTCTTTTCAACAAACCGAAATTCTTATCATAATGGCAATTTGAATTTTGATTATGCCTCACTACAAACTTATTTCATCCTGATTGTGTTAAGTTCGTCAGTACATTCATTTCGGAAATATCACCATGTTTAATATATGATTTTAATCAGTCCAACTCCTTAAACTTGTTTGAATTCATCCACACGTCATTATTAATTATTAGATAAAATAAGACTACTAATTATTGATTTCTAATCTCATCATTTACACACTCTTAAATCACACCTCAAATAACGGATTATTTGGAAACTGATATCATGTGATTAAAATTATCGCTTATGCTTGTTTATTCAATATAGTCCATCAGTTTGATTTTTATAACTGACGAGAACCTGTGTAATATAAAAAAATTCGCTTTGACTTCGTTATTGCTCTATTCAAATTCAAATTACTGTTTACTTGCGTCAATATTGTTTACATCTCACTACTTTGTAATGGACTGTCCTCAGTAACTAGTATTTCAGTTGAAACCATTTATTGAATCGGTGACTGAATTTACTCTCGTGGACAAACTTTGCAGATATTGCATCAATCTGAACTTTGATCTACTCAATTATTTCATTTATCGGTGATATATAAACTGGCAGATCAAGTTTCTTCCCAACGTTAACTCGTATATATTCAATATGTATAATCGTTTGTTCATCACTCAGTGGCAAATTGTTTATAAGTAACTAAAGAAGGTTGATCCTAGTGGGAATACCTCAACAGAGAGATCTCAGATTGTAAAACTAGGTGACATGGGCTTGAATCTGGAAGATAATCCTAGTTCTGACAAGTTTACAGACTCACCTTGCGAAAATTAGTAAACAGTAAGAAACCTAGGTTCAGGGTTTCCAATCGACCATCTCCAAACATCATCTAACACTGTTCAGTAAATGTTTGGAAAAGTTAACGTTCAATGAATTAGTTTTAAAAAAAATAGTGTAGCCCGTAAAAAACATAGAAAAGTATTACACTGATAATGAATTCTAAACCTTACCTTTTAAATTGTTTTGATCACTAAGTGAACAAATCATTTTCAAGCTCAACGTTAATTACCAAGCATAATGAAGCAAAATATGTTAAGGCATAATGAGAAATAATTAGTAAAATTTAATTGTTCTAGTGATGATTTAAAATATATCATTTTGAGTAAACAAAATATATTTCTAAAATATTCACTTCATTATGATTGATTTCGAGGTCATAATTTGTTAATAAATATCATTATATATATATATATATATATATATATATATATATATATATATATATATATATATATATATATATATATTAAAGAAGAAATTACTTCTAACTCATTCACTAAATCATACAAACACATGTATGGTTTATTATTTGAAATTCTACGAAATTATATTGAATCGACATTCGGACCAGCAACATGGGAAGCTGCTGTAGAAATAGTCAACGGACAACCACTTGAAATACAAGTTAATAAAAACTATTCCACTCGATTATTAACACGAATCATTGGTACATTGTGTGAGTTTATTGGTTTACCGGAAGAAGATATTTATTATGAATTCGGTATTCAATCAGTTGATTATTTGAGTAATAATGGTTTCCAGAAATCACTACAAGTATTAGGTAAAAATTACATTGATTTCCTGCACAATATCAATGAACTGCATGAATATTTACATTATTCTTATCCAAAAATTAAAGCACCTAGTATACAAATTACTTCAATCAATCACAATGTCATCACTTTGGTCTATTCTTCAATACGTGAAAAATTCTCACAATTTCTACGAAGTCAACTGATATATATAGCTAAATTATATTTTCGATTGGATGTTAGTGCAAAATTAGTTGATAAACGAAAGCAAGCAGCTTCATACATATACACATTCAAATTATACAATAAAGGTTTATCGTGGGTCGAATTATTAGAAAAAGATAATCAACTCAACAAACATATATCTCTATTGGATTTGACAATCAGTTTACCAGAGAATGAATTTCTAGGCATACTACCATTCCATTTAGTAATAACCAAAGATATGATGATAAAACGGGTTGGTATGGGATTTTCGCACCTACGAAATGATTTACTGGGCAGAGAGTTTATCACTTGTTTTCTGATTTCAAAGCCAAAAACAAATCCAACTTTCGATGAGGTAAGTACTGTGATGTAATCGTTTACTGTTTAGTCTTATCTATAGAATGTACTGAATTTGAATTGTAGATAACAAAAGTAGTTTACAGTGTCATATATTATTACAAAACTGCCATCATCAAAAGGAAGTTGTTTAACGTATTAGTAATTGCTAGGCCAAAGATACTCTCTATATTCTGTAGACTATCAAGTATTTCTCCATGTCCAAAATGATGAATACTTGATTCTCTTCTGAGTAGAAGTACAAGAAGAAGTTCAAGAACAGATTGCATTAAGTTGAGATATTTGGCTACACTGGTAGCCAGCTTTTCCTTTAGCACAGATTGCTTTTTCCGGTTTTTAAACGATCTTTAGTTTACATTTTGGTTGATATAATGAACGTAGGACTAGATGTCAAAAAATGAGGCAGCTTATATTTTTGTATGACGATAGAACTGAGAGATATAAGAATATCATGTTTATTAGCTATGGGGCAAGATCATCACTTAGTAGCTATTTGGATAGCGTACTAGGTATCCGAAACGAAAGTCTGAGGGGTTCGAACCTCGCGATGAACACCAACTCTGAAATGCAGCTACATTTAAATAACGAGTTTGAGTTACTAGGAACAGGTATAGTTATTACTGTTCCTAACTATATTTACTCTTTTACATAAATGAACTCTGTTCTATATATGCTCACGTTAACTCTTGAGTAACCATAATATTTAAAAATCATAATCATAAAATCGGTCAAAATTACTTATAATGATGAGATGAATTGGAAGGTGTTATGAACACACATCAGCATAGTATAGGAAAAACGTACAATAAATTCGAGCTACTAAGTGAAACACACTGTGAATATATATCTTGTATGGGATAACGTCCTACTACTCTAGTAATAACAAAAGACTAAAAAGCTAAAAACAAGCGGTTATGTATTAAACAAACACTAATAAAATGTAAGAATAAAATAAGTAATGCTCAGTTATTACACATTTGAAATCATTAATCAATCATCATTGTTAGACCACCATTAGAAACCTGGAAGCACTGGACGGCCGTTTCTTCCTAGTATGGGACTCCTCAGCAGTGCGCATCCACGACTCCTGCTCCTCTCAGGATTCGAACCCGGGACCCAATATGTCGTAACAGTGCTCACTAGTGACTAGCTTCGTGAGGAAATTCTCGGAGTTCTAGTTGAGAAGACGTGACCAGTGGAGTTCAACCCTGTCGGGTGTAGGCAGTAACTACCAAAGACAAATGGGTGAGGTCGCGCAAAATCCCTAGATCAATCAGAGTTACACATTAACACCGTTGGATGCCAGCCCAGAGGTCCGATGGTAAGGCGTTCGCCTACAATGCCAAAGGTCCCGGGTCCGAATCCTGCGAGGAGCGGGAGTCGTGGATGCGCACTGCTGAAGAGTCCCATACTAGGACGAAACGGCCGTCCAGTGCTTCCAGGTTTCTAATGGTGGTCTAACAATGATGACTGATTAATGATTTCAAATGTGTAAAAACGCAAACCTCCAAAACTGTGCCCCAATGCTCAGTTAGTCAAAACAAAATTATTCCTACTCTTTTATTCACCGATAAAAGAGTAGGAAAAAGATATCAGGATAGAATCAAGTGAAGAAAAATATTTGAATAGACTTTTATGGCGTAACGAAGAAAGGTTTGAATTTTCAAGTCAGAAAGGCCATCATCTGTTTCTTTTCGAATGTATAAATCAGGTTTCCGAAGCCTAATAGCTTGGTGGCTTCGACAAACTTCAGAAAACTGGAACTGTATTGTTTACCAGTAAGCTCGAACGATCTCAGTTTATAGACCTAACTTCCTGTGTACAATAGATGTCAAGTGCTTGTACTATTTAAAATACTTCTTCATCAGTGAAGAAGTATTCCATAATATGTCCTTCTTTCTGTTTGATCAATATAATTGTTTTGCATCTATATGTAAGTTTGTGGACGCAATCGGTGATGAAAAGAAAGGGATACACGTCAACCTTTGAATGACTTGTTGAACATGTTTTACATGGCAACAGCTGTTTGGCTGTATGGTTTTATATATATATATATATATATATATATATATATATATATATATATATTCTGAAAATAATAAGAAATTTGTTCCAGTTTACAGGCATGAGCAGCTTGATTAAGAGAGTAGTAATAAATTTGGAGGACAGGCACGTAATATTAGATTGTTTGAAGTGTTCTGATTCCAAAATTGTTTAGGAAGTACATTTTTTACATGTATTACAGCTATACAAGGCTTCAGTCAGGAACTATTAATGATTTTAAACTGGACTTTCTTTTGCTGTATGAAAGCTGTATATAATTCCGTTTCCAGTGCCATAATGTATTGGTCATAATCATCTAAAACTACAGAAAATAGAAGAGAAACAGAGAACATAAAACAACGGAAGTAGTAATTACTAAGACAGATTAGTTGGGTCTACTACGATTTATGTGCAAGATGATTTTATGGTTTCATGTTCGGGTATTTATAGTTCGTGTAATCTCACTTGAGGAGTAGTATACACTTACTGTAGTTAGTACATTTAAGGCATCTTCTGAGGAGAATTTCAGATACTGTAACTAGGAGTTTCTGTATAGTGAATTGCTCCATTGGATGTACAACATATTTTATTAAATATTTTGAGGAGAAAAATTAGATTCAGTTTAAGTTCCCTCTTTCATAAAGGGTTAAGCGTAAGTTTATTACACCTGGATTTATAATTTAAGGCAATATTAGTTCCAAAAATACTCAATGTAAAACATCTCTATATGGATTCCGGCGATCATTTATCCTTTATGCGTGCACTGTTGAGAATATACTTGCAGTATTCAAGGAGTGGTCGAAATGTGACTTCATTCATTAAAATACGTGATTCTTTGTTTGAGAGGTTAGGAATGATGCAACCCGGAGTGGGTTGAAATTTAGAAGTCTGTTTGGAGACCTGTTCTGACAAGGACAACTTTAGGAATAGCTTAGTTCTGAATCCACAATCGTATGAAGCTTCGATAACACCTTACAGTTTATCGTTAGATCTAGGTGGAGTGAAATATTAGCTCAGAAACTTAATCCACATTTAGCTGTGTTACTCTCCAATTTCCATTTTGCGCACCACTGGTCTACCTTGTTCAGCTCCATGTTGATGAGTTTCTGCATATTGTTAAGCTGTTGATGGGAAAATCAATGCACTAATTTAAGATTATCTCCATATGGAAGAGACTTGTTAACACAGAAACAATCGTAAATATCATTTATATGAGCTAAAAAGAACACGAGACTTGAAACACTACCTTGTATTATCCCACTTTTAACAGAGACACCATCTGATTAGAGGGGTCTAATTTTCACTGTTTGATACTGGTTGTCGATATCGATTGCTGATATAATGCACACAGAACCAAATGTAACAAAATAAACCGGTGTACTAAATTACGAGAAGATAGCAGTATTGAGGATATAAAATTTTCGACCATTAACTTGTCAAATTAGAATACTGGATAAATTTTCTTGATTGTTTGTTGTCTATTAAGTACATTAATTTATAGAACAGTTAACGTAAGATTTCTTAGAGTTATATACAAGTATTTATTTGTTTACATTACACATCTATTTGTGATGGCTTTCTCTTTTATTTTATTAACATATCTTTTATTTCGAGAAGTTCGATTATAAACGCGTTTGCGACAAATTTTACAACTGTCAATGTCATATTCCTAACTCGTTTAATGAGTTCTGTTCAACTCAAACTGCCATACTACTGTCTCTGTTATCGAGAATTTACTTGTTTCATTAGATTTTAATAGTTTTAACCAGTTATTTCTTTAAACAAATTCATTATCATTCGTAAACTCCTGTTTGAATATAATCCTTTCTGCTGGTCGTGAACTAACTGTTGACCAGTGAACTGCAGTAATTGGAGAGTAACTACAGAGTCCTCAAAGTTAGTTGGAGAAGTTTCCTGCAATTACAATTCGCAAGTTTTCAATTTGTCTAGGTTCAGCAAAATTATAATAAATATTTGCAAGTAACATCATCACAATAATCAAATGTAATCACAAACTGGAAAAACAATTTCACAACATTCCTATGTTCATAATCCTATTTTAAAAACGGAAAACCAGTAGGAATTCGATGGAGTATTGATGTGTAATCAAAGTTTACATCTTCAATTGAACTTATACATTGTTTTCTTCTGATTCTTTTCAGATATATTCAAACAGGTTCACCACTTTTGAAATTATTCTCTTCAACACTGTCTCCTCAAAACGTGAGTTCTAATTTTCAATCAACACTTTATCAACTAAACGATTTACTGAAGACACATCCAACGAATATCACTGAACAATCTACAAATGTTTTTCTACAAGTTTTTCATCTATTAAAATCTCTTGTAAATTCTAAAATACTAGATCAATAACACAAACGTATATTGTACTCAAATGATTGAATGCAGACTGCTTTACTAGTATGATGTTATATTTGAATGTTAATTATAGTGAGTGATATTCTGTTGTAAGTCAATATTCTGATGTAAAATCGGTTGGCTTCTGTCTTATCTGGATAAATGATAACTCGTAGGACTAACCTATGGATCATTATTAAATATATACTCATTACATAATTATGAAATAACTAGATCATTACATATTTGTATTCCTTTTGTCACAAATTCTAGATTAATCCATTATCCAATTTTGTATGACTGACCATTCCTAATCTCTAGCTAGTTTATCACTCACAGACTTCTCTATTCTCATAAATTTTGGCTTGCTCATGTGTAAATGTATTTTCTCATTCTATGGTGTAATGCGGTTTGGTATGTTTTCTATGTAAACTATGTGTGCTTGGCATATAAAGGAATTTCGTGGGTGTTGGCTGTGGACATCTGGACGAAGAGGTATAGTAAGAGGAAGGAGCTAACTTTGTGGACCATTAAGGATTCAGAATTGACTGAAGGTTGCTAGTTCTAAAACGTAATTCTGATTGGTGTTTTGTGTTTGTAATGTGATACTGGGAA